CGCCCGATTTGTTGGTTTGCATTCCTCTGTGTAATGCCATACTTACACAGATGCCCCATGACCTGCCAGTCATGCTGATGCGATCACCATTACAGGTATCCTAACCCAATCGTTAGTAACAGTTGCGTAATACGAATATTACATAGGTGATTATCCAAATTTTTGCTGTCGATGGAATTTGAACACCCAACCTACCACTTGGGGGGTTGACAACCTGACCACTTCACTAGGTCACCACACTCCTGCAAATAAAAATATTTCTAAAAGAAAAATATCTATATATTAAGTAAATTTTTTTACATTGTTAAATTTCAATTTGTTAAATCTGCATGTATATAATCACCAAAAGCACTACTATCTTTCATAATTTTTTTTGCATTTTTAAGTTCAATATTAACTCTGTCTTGAGAAATTAAATGCAATGCAGTTTCTGGAACTAAAACTTCTAGTAAATAGTCTACTTGACTTTTGGGATAAGCTAAATTACTAGTTAGAACATTTGTATATAAAAAAAGATCAGAAAGTACACTACTAATAATATCTAATCCTCATGAACCATAATATCCTAGCTATAAAATAATTTGAATTAAATAGTAATAGCAAATAATATTTAATTATAATAAATACAGTAATCATAATATATGTATAATAAATATATTTAATACCTTAAAAGTATTATATCAACCTATTATTGTTATAGAATTATTTGCTTTTCTTTGTCCAATTTCATTACAAACTCTAAAAGTGAAGTCATGATAATAACTTTTTGTTTTTCTATTAATAATATTTAAAAGTTCATCTTTCATTTGAACAATACAGGAGTTTAATAATGCAAAGTTAATTTCCATTGGGTAGCCTTTTTGAATACCATCAGATACTATAGAAGTTTCCATATAATGAATTTCACAAAACATTTCACGATCTTCAAATGTAGAATTACCTATAAATATAAAATTATTTTAAGTTTTGTAATCTACAGTATGTTAATATATACTACAATATTATTTAGTTTTACTATTTTGCTTTGCAATTTTTCGTAATAAGTCTCAAATTTTTTCTGGTAGTAGGTTTGGTAATTCATTTGTACAAAAAGAACAGCAACTTTCTAAAAATAAATATCAATAAATATGAATAAAAAAATAAAAGAATTATCAAAAATAAATTTAATTAA